CAATGAGAAGTTATGCAAACGTAAGCCAATTTAAAAACAGACCTTAGCACAACTGTGCAATGCTTTGCATAGATGACTGGCAGGGTCTTTTCCCCAGGAGTGAAAGGGATGTAAGTGTTACTGTGTACCTTGTATTGTGCAGACAGTCTATGTGCAAGCAACAAAGCTGATTTAAGAGTTGAAGCACACAAGCCTGCCTCTTCTTGAAGGCTTTCTTGCTGACCTGTCCCATCTGTATCTCGTGCTGCAGGCATACTACTACTGTGCCATTGTTGAGGACGTGATCCTGCGCTTTGCCTGGACCATCCAGATCTCCCTCACTTCCATGCAGATCTTTCCATATGCTGGGGATATCATTTCTACTGTTTTTGCCCCACTTGAGGTTTTCAGGTAAGGCTGAGCGGCTCGTTTGGATTTCGTATTACTTGTAAAACATCAGCAGAGTGGGAAGCCTCTTGCTCTTTGGACTCTGAGTTGGAGGGGGAGGTCTTGCATGGCACTTAATCTGAGCAGGGTGCTGAGGAACACTGCAGCAATGTGGGGCTGGGTCTTTGGCTGCATTTACCATTCCCTCTGCAACTGCTGGATCTAATAATCTCAAAGGGTCATTACTAAGTTACTCCTTATAACTGTATCGTTGGCAGAAGCATTTGATATTTCTCTTAATCTCAAGTTCACAGTTATTCCCAGATTCCTACTCCTTTCCACCAATTTGCAGCCTGCCCCATTGGCTTGCACCCTGCCCCATTGCCCTGTGGGGTTTCAGGTCTCTTTACACCCTTGTGCTCTTGCTGCAGACCCCCATATGAATAATCTGTGTAGCCCAACTTCACTCGTGTGCATGGCAGAGGTTGCCATGTGTTTTTCCTTCCTCTTGTAATGCGTGCAGACTCGGGCTGTCATCATTAGGACAATGAATGAGCCTGCCAGCCTGTTTGTTCCCCGGGGAGCTGGGAGATGTCACAGCAGGTGTTGCTGGTAGTTGTTTGCTGTTCCTCCATACTCCAAGCATGTTCCCAGTGGCACTTTGTGATCACTGGGAATAATCAGTGCTGTCCAGGCTCACGGATCAGTGCTTCACCAAACACAGTGACGCCTATAAAAATGGAACTGCGTCAATAAATCTCTTTTTTTTTTTTTTCCCTTCACCCAGGAGGTTTGTCTGGAATTTCTTCCGTCTGGAAAACGAGCACCTGAACAACTGTGGTGAGTTCCGTGCCGTCAGGGACATCTCCGTGGCACCGCTCAACGCCGACGACCTGACTCTGTTGGATCAGATGATGGACCAGGAGGATGGCGTGCGGAACCGCCGTAAGAACAAGCAGTGGAAGCGCAGCCAGAGCATATCCTTGCGCAGACCTCGCCTTGCTTCACAGTACGTTTGGCCTCTCCTCCTGGAGCTGTCGTGAAGGCAGTCCCCTTTACAAAATTCTCCTCCTGCACTAGTAGCTGTGTCCAGGCGTTGACATCCAAACATGCAAGACAGGCTTTTCCCCTGTTTCCGAACTTCAGGCCACCCCAAGATTTCAGTTATCCTTTCATTAAGATGTCATGTGAGATCTCAGACCCCTTCCCCTCCCATATCCAAACCTGTGCAGTTTTTCTTTCCACCCCTCATTCTTACACCCAAAACATTCCCCCATTTTGCATCCCAGGCTCTACTGGCTGTGCATCTTTGTGGCTGCGGGATGCTTTGGTGTCTGAGCATCACTTCTTCCCCCCAAGCACAGCTCCAGAGCCCTTGGCCAAGAGAGCAGCTCCTGGGGTGAGGAAGCACAGAATCATAGAATGGCCTGGGTTGAAAAGGCCCACAGTGATCATCTAGTTCCAACCCCCTGCTATGTGCAGGGTCACCAACCAGCAGACCAGGCTGCCCAGAGCCACATCCAGCCTGGCCTTGAATGCCTGCAGAGATGGGGCATCCACAGCATCCTTGGGCAACCTGGACACGCAGGGAGCATTGTGCAGTAATGGCTGCAGAGCATCTTCCTATTTCATTGCTGCCTGGAAGGGGTGGGAGGAGGAAGGAGCAGCCTCAGCTCCCTGACGAGTGTTTTCTGTTTGTGTTTCTTCCCAGGTCCAAGTCTTCTGACACGAAGGTATTGATAGAGGACCTAGCAAAAGAAGTGAACACATGAAGCAGCCACGATCTCTTATTCAGCATCCTTTGTTTTCTCGTTCTGCTCCCCTCTTCCCCAAGTAACCCAATCTCTGGTACAGTTCCAGCTGCAAACAGGAGAAAACACTGAACACATTTTCCGAGCTCTTCCAGACCAGATCCTATGGACTCCAACAAGCTCACTGTGTTTTGTTTCTTTTCTTCTGCGTTAATTTTGATGTCCTATTTTAACAAACAAACAAACACAAAATAAAACATTTTACTTTCTTTTGCCAATAAAGAGGACAGTTCAGGAAAGAAGGATTGTTTACAGTCTCAACAAGGACATACACACCTGTCTGGATAAAGAAGCATCATAGGGACTCCCTATTGGGACAGTGCCGAGAACACCCTCGGTTTCTGCTTGGCCCGGTTTTGACTGGTTGAAACCGGACTTAAGTTTTTAAATCTGATTATTTTTTGTTTTATTTTATTTTATTTTTTTTCTTCATATCCAGCGCTGAGGCACTGGCTGCACTTGCAGGGAAAGTGCACTTAGAGCAGTACCTTCATTCATGAAGCTACTTTTTAATTTGATGTAACTTTTCTTATCATATATATTTCTTTTCTTTGGGAAATGTGATGTATGTGTTACGTATAGTTCTCACATAATTTATGGAACCTGACAACCATCTGAGAGTGCTTTTGAGTCCTGTGCAATGAAGGTTGTACCGGTGACGCGAACCCAGGAATGTGGATGGAGATGTGCAGGGTCGTGGGGTTGTGCACCTGTTTCCCTTTGATTGCTTGCTTTCTTTTCAGCTTTAGTTGAAACCAAAGCTTTTCTTTCTGACTTTGGGTTGCTGCTCCCACTCCGGGCACTGCTGTGGTGGCAGCTGAAGGCTGGCTTGCTGCGTGACAGCAGCACACACCGTCACACCGCCCGCTGTAAGGGAGGGCTGGGTCCTGCTCCAGTGTGAGCAGCTCAAGGCAGAGCCTTCCCAGCATCATCGTCTGGATCTCACGCTGGATTTCAAAGCCTTAATCACCTTTAGCTGAGCCCAGCAGGTAGGAGCAGCAGTGCTCCTTGCTCTCTCGTCCTGCAGCAGAGGCAGCACACGGCGGGTCCTGCCAGAGGTGTGTTGGGCTGCCAGCAGGAGCTGGGCTCTGCTCATTACATCTTTGCCCTGCTGTCTGTTGGCTCCCGTCTGGTTTCAGCGATGGGATTGCAGGAATCCCTGCTGTCACATCCTGGGTTCTGTTCTTTTGCCCTGGGCTGGTAGCACGGCTTCTCCCCTGACTGCTGCCTTGCATCTGTTCTGATTTTGTCCCCTGCGCTTTTCGCCCAGAGGATCTGAGGAAGGAAACTCAGTTCTCTTCCTTTCATTTGGAATAGGTTAAAACGAAGCGGTGGTGGACCTGTGCCAGAGCAAGGTCGGTGCTGCAGGTTGGGAGCTGCAGGTTGCAGGCAGTCAGATTCTTGTTGTGTAGCTTCTCAAAGCCTTATGGAAAGCCTTTCTCCTTCCTGGCTCCTTCCCTTGCCTTTATTTTTGTTTCTGCCTTTGCTGCCAGAAGAAATAAGCGAAAAGGGGAGGCGGTGTGCTGCAGCTGGCAACAATTATCTCCCAAAATAAAGCACCGTCCCCTTTGGCAGGGAGTTCCCAACCTGCCAGCAGCCTCAGAGAAATCAGGAGGGCACATTCCTCCCAAACCAGCCCTGTGGAACACGCAGCCATCACAGCAGCGTGGATTGGGATGGAGGTTGGCAACGGGCTGGCTGAACTGATGTCTGCAGGGGCCTTCAGCTGCCGTGGGTGTCCCCATGATGTGCCACCGTGCACACGGGCGCAGTGAGCTGCTGCCTTCAGCCTCCATTTAACTTCAGTTCTTATTCCAGAAGGCGACCGGGTTGTTTTGTCTCCTTGGAAAAGAGGGTTTGGGGCTCCTAGGGGAAGAGCGGATGATCCTTGCGGCAACCGTGCCGGCCACAGCTGGCCTCACCACTGCTGGAGGGTTAGCCTGGCCCTGGGAACACCACTGGAGAAAGGCAGGTCTGTGGGAGGAGGAGAGGAGAGGGCTGCTGGCACCCTTTGGTGCCCAACCACGGCCTCATCCTCCTGGCACTGGGGCTGCAGAACGCCCCGGCTCCTCCCCATCCCTGCCACGTTGGTCTCATGGTTCTGCCGCCCCGACCTGTAGATGTCCAAAGTAATTATGGAGTGTGATTAGTCCTCTGTGGGTGCTTGCTTTCTTCCTTTCTCTTTCGCTATCCCCTTCTCCACTCTTCTCTCTGGCTAAGTGGAAAAGGTGAGGACAAAGACTTGCCGCTTGCTTGGACTCATGGTGTACTGTGACTGCGCTGTTAGCTGTCTCCTCTTTCCTTCCCAAATGGATATCATTTCTGAAGTGTGGAATAACCCTTCTTGATAAGTAGGTTTTAAAAAAGAAAAACAGAAAAAAAAAAAAAAAAAAAAAAAATGCACAATGTGATACTGTTTCCTAGTTCCTAGGTGGTTGTATAAAAGCAAAGTTACTGTGATTGTGTTTTTAAAAGGAAAAAGTGATTGGTTACTCAATCTGTCCTTTTTTTTTTCATTATTACAAGCTCTTTGTTTTCCAATGACCTGACGCTCGTTTGTCGCTGCTCTGCGCCCGCCTTCCCCCCTCTCTGTGCTGTGGGGCTGTGCCCACCGGGTCCCCAAATCCACGCCGTGGGGCTGTAGGGCCTGGCAGCTCCCCAATGGGATTTGCAGTGCTGCTGCCGGAAATTGCGATGCCCCTGCCCTGCTGGGGCTGATTTAAGAAGATAACGGCAGTTTCTCGTGCTGGTGGGGGCCGGAGCTGAGGGGTGGGGGATTAAAACAATTTCATAATCCCAGTGATTTCCTCCGGGGTCGGGATTATGAAACCAATGATGAATAGCAAAAGCCGCAGCGTGCAGCGGGATCGCCTCGCCCATGGGCCCTGCAGCTCCCCGTTGTGTCCCGTGCCTGCAGGTAAGTGATGCCCAGCGGTGAGGTGGGGCTGTGCAGGGAGAGGGTACGACCTGGGGGCTGTTGGGCTTTGGGGTGAGGGCATGGCTGTGGGGTTCATCCTGGGGTAAGCAAGAAGAGCCAGGATGCGGGTGATGCACATGGGATGCTCCAGCACTGCGGGCTTTGGGGGTGCCAGAGAAGCACCATGGGGTGCTCAGGGATGGGGGAGTGCGCTTGGGGTGGTGGTGAGGGGGTCCCGGCCCTTTGTTTGCACAACCAGAAGGCATCCCATGGGTGGCCTTGGCGCCGCTCTGGGTGCACCGTGTCCCCGGTGTCCCCTGGGTTGCGTGTGACCGCGGTGGCCCCGTGGCCGCCTCCAGCTCGGGTGTCAGCATCTGTGCCGGGTTTGGCTGGGAGCCCCGCCATGGAGTGGAGGAGGAGGAGGAGGAGGGGGAGGCCGGGCAGGAGGCAGGGCCGGCCACAGCCAGCAGCCCAGCCAAGCGGCGGAGCTCCGGCGGGGCTGGAGTGGCTGGGATTTGCTGCTTTTTTTTTAATTTCCTCCCTATGCTTCCTTCCCCTCTTCCGCTTTCTTCTCCCTCCATCCCGGCCCTCTCCCGATGCTCAGGGTAAGCCCGGCCCTCATGGCTGTCCCGGCTCTGTGGGGGCCCGGGGTGACGGAGGGGTGCTGTTCATCCCCAGCGCATTGCGGGCTCCCTGGGAGGGGATGAGAGGCTGCTGGGCCGAGCGGGGCACGGAGGGCTCCATCGGTGCTGTTGGGAAGACGGCTTCCATGCAGGGTTTGTGCTCCGAGGGCTTGGCATCACTCGGGGATGGCCACGTAGGCCGCAGGCGGGCTGCCCTCACTCGCTCTCTCCTCGCAGGGCACATGGAGGGGCCCCGTCCCGCAGAGCCCCCCCGGGGCCCCCACGCCGTGCTGGAGGGCAAAGTGAAGGCGCTGAAGGAGAAGCGTGGAGCCGAGCGGCCCTCGCCCAAGAAGCCCCGTGCCCGCAGGGGGAAGGCTGGAGCCGAGGAACCGCGGGCGCAGCTCCGCACGTACCTGACTGACGGGCTGCTGGACGGCACTGCGCCATGGGGGGAGAGAGGGGGGCTGGGAGGCTCTCCCCCTCTGGTCTCTGATGGCAAGGAGGTGACGGCGGGCCCGGAGCCGCTGTCCTTGGCTGAGAGGGTGGAGAGGAACCGGCGACTGCTGCACGAGGTGCTGGGGATGCACGGTGCGTGCCTGGGCCTCTGCCATTGTTGCAGGTCTCCATGGGGACCTCTCCTATGGAGGTGGGCCCTGGGCAGCCTGAGCTGGGAGGCAGCCAGTCCACAGTGGGGGAGGGCTGGGAGGGCTTTGGGGTCCCCTCCAACCTATGCCATTCTATAGATCTATGATTCTATGACTCTCCAGTCTGCGTCTCTACAGCCCGGGGTCTTGTGCCCGTTTCCTGGGCTCTCAGATGGCAAAATGTTCTTTGGGGAATTGGCCCCAGAGGGAGTTGGTGCAGGGCTGGGAGCTCCCAGTGATGCCTTCCCCCTTCTCCCATTCCAGAGGTGCCAGCAAGTGACGGCGACTGGGACTCAGGGGTCTCACTGCAGGATGCAGAGGGCTGCAGGTAGGACTACAAATGCTTTAGCTGGGGACAAATGGGTCTGGGAAGAATGGGGCTGGGGGACAGAGCAGGGCTGGTGCCAGGTGTCCCTGACGGGAGAGAGGAGTGGGACAGAAATGTCTCCCCAGTGCTTAAGAGCTTACGGGAGGTAGGAATGCGTAATCTCATTGGCCTAATGATAAACCCCAGCAGTGGGGCTAAAAATACGAGGAGGGATGGGCAGGTGAGTGGGGCTGCAGCAGCAATGCTGGGGGGCAGTGTGGGGGAGGTCTGGGGACAATTTGGAGTGGAAGCACTTACGTGGCAATGATCAGTTTTCCAGCACTCTGGCAGCAGAGGCTCAGTTGGTGCTGGTGGGCGCAGGTGGGGTGCCTCAGGGAAGCCAAAATTGAGGTTCATGGCAGTGGCTCCCCACACTTTGGCATGGGGCATGGGTGTGTTCCAGCTGTGGGCAGGCTGGGACCAGGATCCCCGAAGTGATTGCTGAGCTTATTATTTTAACAGGAGGATTAGGGCCGTGATCAACAGGGTGAGGAGGGCAGTGCAAGCATGGGGCTGTGCATGGTTGCGGGTTCCCCCTAGGGCAGGGAACCCCCCCGGCACGTGGATAGAGAAACGGGGCTGAGCACAGCCCAAAGCTGTGGGGCTGGGGCAGCACCTGCTTCAGTTTGCTCACATGCATCTGGGATGCCCCTGGTGCAGGCTGAGCCCCCTAAATTGCTGCTACTGCAGTGCGACAACTCCGGGGCTGCCCGAAGGGGTGTCCCCAGCGTCTGTAAACCAGGCCCTGCTTTCTCCGCGCAGAGCAGCCCCGTCACCGCTAAACCACTTTTAATCCGTGTTATTTTTTGCTAATCCTTCCCTGCAGGGCCTTTGTTCCCGGGCAGGAGCTCGAGCTGAGCCCACGCCATGAGCAGGCCAAGCAGCTGCTGCAACGCGCCCGCATGAAGGCTCGTACCAACCCGCTGCGTGCCAGCCACGACCTCCTGCTGCTGCCCACCACCGCGCACCCCAGGTGAGCCCTGCGCTATGCCACATCCTACCCCACATCCAGCTCCTACCCCGTGACTCGGTCCTGACCCCTGCTCCCTTTTGGCACGCATGACTGCCCCAGCAGAGGTGCTGTGCCGGGGCCGTATGCAGGGTCGTGTGGACTCAGTGCTGCTGGGTTCATTAGCCACACTTCTCACCCCATGGCGGAGGATTGTCCCTGCAGTTTGCCACCCCTCTGTCCCCACTGCAGGGAGCCCAGCGGGACACCGAGGCCCAGCGTCACCACACGGGAGGTGGAGGGCACGGCGGGCGGCAGTCTGAGCGACTCATCCAGCGGGGAGTCGGGCTGCAGGGAGCCCCGGCGGCCACGGGGACCCTCCCCATCCCGCGTGCGCTTCGAGGACGAGTCGGCCCGCGACGCCGAGGTTCGCTACCTGGAGCGGCTGCGGCACCGCCGGGTGCTGGGCTCAGCGCTGGAGCGCAGCGGCGGAGAGCCCCGTGGGCATCCCGGGGATGGCCCTGTGAAATCCCGGGGTGGTGACGTCCCTGCTGGGGGCAAGTGCCAGGCCTGTGGCTCCGTGCTCGGTGCTGCCGTGCCAGCTGAAGGCAGCCCCGTGGCACGGGGAAGGGAGCGCACGGGTCCTGGTGCTGCTGCCCAGCCTGAACCCAAGGCCCGGCCGCTGGGTCCTGGGGGGTCCCCGCTTTGGATCCTGCCCTCCCGGCAGCGCATCCACACTGAGAAGATCAAGGAGACTTACATCGGGAATGTCGCCCGTGGGGATGAGGCAGACTCGGCACTGGAGAGCACCGACACCTCCGATGGCTGCCGGACTGACAGTGAGGAGCCGCGGCCCCGCAGCCCCCACCCACGGGGGCATCGGGAGCCCCGGGCTCGTGGCCACCGCAGCCCCCGCACCTCAACACAGAAGGAGAAGGGCACGAGTGTGGCTGGGAGCTCAGGGACACTTCGCCCCCCACCAGCGGGTACAGCTGGCAGCCAGGATGGGGGGCACACCGGCAAGGCGGCGGGCGATGGAGGGCTACCGGTCCCTTCCTCGAGGCCAGCGGGGCCTTCCCACACCCCCTCCACCACCACCACTACGAAGGCCTGCTCCCAGGTGCCTTGCAGGACAAGTGTTCCTGTTAGCAGCCACCAGTGTCCAGAGCCTGATGCTGGGAGCACTTTGCCCCAACCCAAGGGCGCGGGGCAGCGGCGGGGGCCCTGTGGCCCTGTCTGGCTCCCGGGGAGCCCCCTGCGTGCCTTGTCCACTAATAACTGCAACAACACCCATGGACAGGGCTGTGGGAGCCGCCCCGATGGGCTGGGGGCACAACCTGGGGAGACCACCAGGACGCCCAAGGCACAGCACGATGGGAACGCAACACCTGGGTGAGTGGTGAGGGACTATGAGCATCCCTCCTCGGTTCAGCACCAGGCTCGGCCTCATGACCTGAAAGTCACAGTGGAGCAGGGTGAGGATGTTTTGGGGGACAAGCTACTGCTAAATACTGTTGGGCATTGTCCTGTAGGGAGCCAGCACGGGCAACAAGCCGGAAGGGCAGCGGGGATGCGGCTTCCTCGGGGCTGAAACGGCTCCTGTGCAGCCTGAGCCAGAGCACCAAGCAGCGCCTCGGCCGCTTTCGCTGCTACAGCATGGAGCAGCTGCCCGGCCCTGCACCCAACGGCCCCAACGTGAAGCGGTCGCCCTCGCTGCAGGCCCTGGTGAGCCATCCTCTGCAAGGGGGAGCTGGGGCTTTGTTCGCTGGGGAGGGTTCTGGTGGCTGGGGATGTTGAGGGGTACGAGGGCGCGTAGCAGGGTGCAGGGTTTTGGTGCCACATATCTTACTGTGTCACGCTTCTCCAGGTGTCACCGTTCCGCCAGCCCCAAAAAGCCGCCTCCATACAGAGCCTGCACAGCCTGCTGGGCAGGACGCCCCGAGCCAATGCATACCTGCTGTCCCAGCCAGGGGACAGGGACAGGTGGGATGGGAACATGGCCACGTATAGCCCTGGCCTGGCGGTGCTGTGCTGGGCTCACAGCATCTCCCTGCAGGAAGGCAGCCTCGGGGCCGCGGCACTCGCTGAGCGTGGAGGACATCGGTGCACCCGACCGGCTGCGCACGGTGGGGCGCGTGGTGGAGGTGTTCCCCGATGGCACCAGCCTGCTGGAGATAGAACGGCCACCACACGGCTCCTTCGGCTTCCAGGTCACCTCCGGGCACGGCCGGCCTGACACAGGTACTGTGGCCGTGGAATGGTAGACCAGCTTAAGTAGGAAAGGACCTTATCAAAGACCATCACTCACACGGGTTTTGTGCACTGGGGGCTGGCGGGTCAGCTGGCAGCTCAGTTGCCTGCACCTCTCTCTGCAGGTGTCTACGTGCAGGAGATGGCGGACGCCGGCACGGCCAAGCTGTATGCGGGGCTGCTGGGGGTGGGTGATGAGATCCTGCAGGTCAACGGGGCTGCTGTGTCGGGCCTGGGGCTGGCACGCATCCGGGAGCTGCTGCTGCAGGCAGACAGCCTGGCCCTGCGTGTGCTACGGCAGCGCCCGGCTCGGCGGTAGCAGCACGACTCCAGGAGGAGTGGAGCAGTCTGCAGGAGTCCTGCACGGAGCTAAAATGCAATAAGGACCTCACCAAGACAAAGGGCCTGAATCTGCCCTGCTTATGTGCAATGCGTGGGTCCCTGCAGGGATGGGGACAGCAGGGCACCCTGAGAGGCAACATGGGACCAAGGACCTGCCCCTGGCACGGGGACATCTCAGCTCTCCGGCCCTGGACTCTCTCTGCCTCAGTTGGAAACCTCTGCCTGTGAGCTGGTGGGTTTCTTTTAAATTATTTCAAACTGCAAAAAGAAAAAACAAACCACAGAACTGTAAATATATATATATATGTGTATATATATATACATGCAATGACAACACGTGGTGTTGTGTATATATATGTAATGAAAGTATTGCGGGTGGCACTCGGGCTGGGGATGACACTTGGGTGAATCAGAGCAGGTGGGGGGAAGCTGGGGCTGGGGGGGATGTGGGTCCTTCACAGTGGTGGTCTTACAGCTTCTCCTGCCTTGGTGCTCAGGCTGGGGATGTGCTGTCTGCCCCTGATGGGATGGAGCTGCTGCACTCTGGTGCCACACAGGCAAAGAGCCCCCAAACTTGTCCCCGTTACAAGAGAGACCGGTGCTTTCCTCTGCCGTGACACACTGGCAGCAATAATGCTTTTATTTAGGATTAAAGGGAGGGGCAACACCATCAACAGAAAAAGCAAACGTACAAAAGGAAAGGAACAAAGACAGTTGGGTAGCAGTGACACCTGGACAGACACAGAGCACGGCAGCAGGGCTGCAACCTGGCACAGTGTGTGAACAGAGCACTCCTGCACGGAGCACCAGGAGCTGCTCCTGGACAACATACCATACTGAAAACCCACTCTCAGAGAGGTCTGAAGCCCAGAGCACTGTGCAGACACAGCCAGAGCCTGCCTTGGGAAAGAGACAGTACGTATTTCTTACAATATAACCAAAAGAGACAAGGCGTTGTGCAATGACTGAGAGAACTGCCAAGATCACTTGTGCAGGTTGGCGTTAAGGGCACGTGTGCGTTCATTACAAGAGGAGCTGCCCTGATGTGGCAGGGCTGTTGGGTCTCCTCTCATCCCAAGCCTGGCTGCAAAAGGCACAGTGCCACCAGTGGGTGCAAGAGCTCAATAGGAGGGACTGAGCAGACCCAAATAGAGCCAGAAACTGCCAGGGCTACGTGTCCTGGGCGACAGAGTGCTTTAGGTGCCAAATTTCCTTTCTGAGGAGTGTGGTTCTGGAGGCCTGGTTTGCAGTTTCAGCAGAGGCCTCAGTGTCAGCATCAGTCAGCTTCCTCCCCCAGCCCCATTTGAGACCCAGATGGAAGGCGCAAGTCAGCCTGCCTCCCATCTTTTGGTGCTCTTCCGCTCCCCCAAAGTACAGGAGCAGACTTCACTACAAAACTTTTTCTTTCCTGAAGCATCACCCCTTCCTCCTGTAATCAACTGCACAAAACCCATCTGTATTTCTCCTCAGTAACACTGCCAGGGTGAGCTTTCCTCACGGCGTTTTGCTATCCATGCCTGGCCAGCACTGCTGAGGGAATCCCTGTGCCAAACAACTCGAAGGTAACAAAAGCACTGGGAAGTGATACAGAATGTGACCTGGCTCTGGGTTGCTTACAACTGAAGTTTCCAAAAAAAATAACAGTTGGGGAAAATTAAGACATCCTATTTACAAGTTTGTGTGCACTTAAAATACATAGTTAGGCCCCATTCATTTGATAACGCATCCTGCAGCCGCAGAATGAACGCGGCTCGAACGGTCATCAAAAAACTAAAAGAACTGTTCCTTAAAAAAAAAAATAAGTTATTTTAGACCTGACAAATCACTTGCCAAAGGGAAGCAGCTGTTAAACAGAAGCTTGGCTATACAAGGGGAAAGAAAGCATCAGTCAGCGAGCCAGAGAGGCTTGTGTAACAGGAGGTGACTTGACGAGCTGTATGAAACCAGCCTCAGGCTGATGGCCCCAGCCCTGTGTGTCCATCGATGGCAGGACAGCACACCTGCAGCTCACCTACCTGCAGCGTGTCAGCTCCTGCCTCGGGGTCCTGGATGTGAATGTTGCAGGGTCTTGGTGCTAACTGGAAGGTGTGGTGCTGGCTGGGATTGCCCTTCCTTGCTTTGGGCACGTGTTGCTGTGGGGTTTCAGGCCACCGCTCCTCCCAGTAATGCTTCTGGCTGGCAAGCATCCCACAGGCTGGTGATGCAGTTTGTAATGCTCAGTGAAACAATTCCACCCCCCCATACCCTGCCAAGGCTCCCTGCTCCGTGTCCACACAGAGGGCTTCGGACTGCTGCAGCTGGCTCATACCTGCGAAGGGTACAGTCCCCCCCAGGGCCTGGGGACCAGATGGCAGCACCGTGGGGCAGGAAGCAGCCCGACGGGGTCAGGGAGCCACAGCTGCTTCCTGTCCTCTGTCTGCCCTCCCCAGAGCTGGGGGAGATGTTGGTGGAGCCAGGCCTTAGTCCTCGGAGGAGAACGGTGAGAGCCGGGCACGGGTCTACTTGACAGGGATCTCTGTGGTCGGACGGAAAGAGTTTCATTTCCCCGTGCTACAGGGGCTGGGGAAAGGAGTGGAGGCTTCCGAGGAAGTTCAGTCCATCACAGGACAATCAACAGGACCAGCACCACCAGCAAGATGATAAAGAGGACAATGATTGCACACCACTGCCGCCGATCTGGAAGAGAAAGGAAGTGTCGGTCCTCTTACTTTAATAGAAAGAAAGCTGGAGGAGAGCTTTTCCTTACCACGCTGCTTTCACTGCGCTTCCCTTCTAAAGGAAAGCTCCCTCACCAGCAGAACAAGCACCATGCCCTTCTGCAGGCTGCTCCTTACTGCCTGTGGGGTGACAGCGCTTCTCTTGCAGGATGCAGCTGCTTTTTGGGACTGCAGTGTGGAATTTTGAGGTTTCTCCACAGTCAAGTTCAAACAGATTTGATAAGCTGGTTCAAAAGTGATCAGGAAGAAGCAGAGAGCTGCTTTGTGTTGCTGCTTGTGGACTGACCTGTTTGTGCTCTGCACATGCTCAAACACTGCACTGCCTCTAGGATCTGCCTCAGGGAGCTCAGCACACCACTGGAGGAATTCTTATGCTTTTTTGGAAAAGATATGAATGCATTTTACAGAACAAAACCATACCAGCCTGTACTGCTGCTCTACGCTGTCTGACACCGTCCTGCTTCTACAGTGAAAGTTTCCCCCATCTGGATTCAAGCTCGCCTCCGACTTCCTGGCACCAGGAACCCCACTGTCCCTGGACACAGCGCAAGCTGTGACCGCACCACAAAAGCCACATGACTCGTGCAGGGCCTGCCTTCCCCCAGATGAGCTCTGTCTGCAGCAAGCTGTGAGTGGGCGACGCCAGGCTGCACAGCTGCTCTCCGTCCACGGCCACGTCTGCACCGGCAGACATACAGCCCCTGTGAGATGGTGCAGTGCGGGGATGGAGCTGCTGGCACCACTCATTGAACGCTGCAGCCAGCCTTGGGAAGAGCCGTCCCCTGTTGCTTGCAGTGCCAGCGGCAGCTCAGATTCCCTGTGAGTTCCCTGTCCAGCCCGATCCTGTAGAGCAGTTCCCTCCTCCCTCCCTGCTGCTCCCACCCCCCACGCACGAGCACCGGCAGCGGAGGCGACGCACAGAGCACCGCAACGTGGGGAGCGATCGGCGGGGACTTCCCGGCAGGCACGAGCTTCCTGTTTGCTCTGCCCACGGCAGCCGGCCGGCCGCCAGCCCACCACGTTCAGGCACTGCCTTATAAGGACTTTTCTCGTGGGCTCAGCCTCCCCAGCGCAGGAATCGCCTCTCCTCGCCACCAGGAAACACGTCCGACTGTCCTCCCGTCGGTAGAGCCGGCGCCAGCAGCGCACAGGCAGGGGAGATTAGCAGAGGGACTTGCTGCAGCTAGAGAAGGCACGCACGGTGGCAGTGTTTTGCTCAGCAGGTGGCCTGGGAAACCGCGAGCAGCATGAGAGGCTGCAGAACTCTCCTTTATCGTCTAAGAAGGGGTTTTTCCCAGTGCAGTAGTAACAACATAAATAGAAAGGCATCTGTATATAACACAAAGGCTGAGGGCAGACTGCAAAGCAGTATCTGGGCATGAGCAGCTGCAAGGTTTGGATGCCTTCTCCCTCTTTAACCTCTCAAGCAGCTGGAACTGCTCCCTCCCCTCTACTTGGATCTGGGAGCACATAGTGCTCCATCCCTAGAATTCACAGATGTGCCTCCCATTTTCCTGGCCCAGACCCCACAGCCCTGGACTTACCACTTGTCATGTGAGACACTTTAGCGAGCTTCTTCATGACATTATCCAGCCGTGAGTGAGTGCTGTCCAACTCGTGGGAGAAGTCGTCCAGCATCCTGGGGACAGAGGAACACAGTATTGGTCAACAAGTAAAGCAATACTTGCCTTTGGGATCGTTTGCTGCGCTCATGCACGCTGATCAGAACACAGTGACTGAGAAAAGCAACACAGCATGGTCACCTGAAAGCACCCAAGGGGAAAAAAATCCTGCTGAAGCAGCAGCTCAGCTTTGGTGGAAAGTAAGAAGTCATGGGGACACCTGTCGGACTGGTCCCCCAGCTCTGCATATCTCTAAAAGGTGAGCAGTGGGGGTTTCCTCCTTTGAAGATGAAAGTTTTGCTTATAATCCGTGATTAGCAGTGAATGTGTAGATCAAGGTGCCAGTTTGGACTTTAAATCCCTTCTCTTGCTGAGGGCTTGCACTTGAAGCTAAAATCTTGTTCCACTCTGGTATCAAGCAGGACTGAGATTTGCAATTGCTTTTAAGGTGCTTTTTAAATGCTACAGAAGTTACCCCTCCAGTTCCTTCACACAGCAAGAGTAACAGACCTGAAAGCCTTTCTGTAGCTGTGCTTTGTCAGAGCCACGAACCCACCTGAAGACAGACAAAGCACATCCAGGATCAAAGCTATCCCAGCCATCTCCAGTGAGCAGAACTTTAAACATAACACCCTTAAAAGCATGGAGAACAAAGAGTTGTAGAAAAAAGCCATATTGCCTTAATTATCTGCTAGCAAGCACTGATGGCTTATGCGGTGACCTGGAAACAGATGCACCACACCAACCTGCCGGGGCCAGGCTTCACACAGGAGGTCCTTTACAGTTCCTCCTATCCACCAAAGACATCACAAAGGCTCACAGCCCTCCAGACTCTTGTCAGCCACACAGGAAGGGTTTAGGCACAAACCCTTCGTGTCTGTTAGTCTGCACAACTGAGAATTTCATGCACTTCTTTGCAAAGGACATGCACAGGGAAAGAAATCTAATTTATATGTAAATGGGTGGATACAA